AGCTCCACCCCTGCTGGTGGTCAAATCGTTGGAATGGAGGGGTGCGTGGTTGACGTCCAGCTGCTCACAGCCACAGAAACTTCTGATATGCATGCATTTTTATATGGTTTTTGACTCTCTGTTGCATTCTTATATCAAGTGGTGTGATTTGATGCATAATGCCTAGAGTCTCATTTTAAGCGAATGCGCTGGCAAGCAAATAATAAACTTTTATATAACTACATATCCAATCTACATTCAAAGTTCTTGGATTAGATAAAAGGTACCAAAAATTATTAACAACTATACAAATTATAAATATATTACGAATTGAACCATCAGATATGAATCTTTATACAATTGTAATAACTTTTATAATTTATAATATAATTATATTATAGTGTTGAAAATATCACATAGTTTTAAAATTTACCAACACATAAACTACATATATAATTCATAATTGATGGCGAAAAACCAAAATTTTAACCCTAGCCCTATCGATTTCAACGGCTACAACAACAATCACCTTCACTCTTCTGCTAAATTAGGGAACAACAACCTCTAACCACAATCTTACGTTGCACATTTACATTTATATCTCAAAACATAATGTTGGATGTTAAAAGATCTATCATATCTCTACATTTACAACTTCGGAAGCTTGACGCCAAGAAGCCATGAACGGCGTCAATATATTTTCATTCATTGAAGATTTATAGTTAGTTTCTAGCGCTAAATTTTGTCGCATAATCATGTGCTCCAAACAAGACTGCAATAGATTTTTAAACAATCTTTGCAATTTAGGTATGCAATCCATATACAACACTCATGTTAAAGGGATTACATAGCTGTCCAAAACTACCATGTCAAGCATAACCAATACATGATCGCACTAAGTTAAGGACTCCAAATATAGAGCACAAGCAATCTTTGCAGAAATGTAATAGAACAAAACACAACCATATAAAGACTTGTAACCAAATTATTTAAGATATTCCCAAGAAAATTGAAATTGATTGCATACATGTTATAACAAGAAAGGAAATTAAAAATATGAACTCAAATAACATATAGTAACTCATTTAAGAGTAGCATTTACTGGTTTTCAGTAATATGTAGCTGGTGGTGGTGGGGATTTGTACTCAACTTTTGGAGAAGGAGAATAATAAGGTGGTGGTGGAGAACTGTAGACATATGGAGGTGGTGGAGACTTGTAGTCTACTTTAGGGGATGGAGAATAGTATGGTGGTGGGGGTGGAGAGTTGTAGACATATGGTGGTGGAGGAGACTTGTAGTACACCTTAGGGGAAGGTGAATAGTATGGTGGTGGTGGAGAGTTGTAAACATATGGTGGAGGAGGAGACTTGTAGTACACTTTAGGGGAAGGTGAATAGTAAGGTGGTGGTGGAGAACTGTAAACATATGGTGGTGGAGGAGACTTGTAGTACACCTTAGGGGAAGGTGAATAGTATGGTGGTGGTGGAGAACTGTAAACATATGGTGGTGGAGGAGACTTGTAATACACCTTAGGCGAAGGAGAGTAATATGGTGGTGGTGGAGAACTGTAAACATATGGTGGTGGAGGAGACTTGTATGTTACTTTTGGTGAAGGAGCATAACATGGAGGAGGTGGTGGGCAGACACATACATGCGGGTGTGGTGGAGATTTGTAATGAACTTTAGGGGATGGTGAGTAATATGGTGGTGGTGGAGAGCTGTAGACATATGGTGGTGGAGGAGACTTGTAATGTACCTTTGGTGAAGGCGAGTAGTATGGTGGTGGTGGGGAACTGTATACATATGGTGGTGGAGGAGACTTGTAATCTACCTTCGGAGATGGAGAATAATATGGTGGTGGTGGTGAGCTGTAGACATATGGTGGAG